AGCTGTGACGGAAAATCAAACCCCGTACGAGAGGTGGCATGGTCAGAAGCCTGATGTTTCCAAGCTACGAATTTTCGGCAGTAAGGCGTTTTGCTTTGTACCCAAGGAAAAGCGAAAGAAGTTGGATGCTCGTAGTCAGCTGTGTCATTTGGTTGGATTTAGCGTGAACGGTTATCGAGTGTGGGACGGCCGCAACGTTTTTCTTGCTCGTGATGTAGTCATTGAGGAGTCACCGTTGACAGAACAGGTTCGAGGGGTCGATGCAGCGCATGAGAAGGATTCAAGTGGTCATCGCCAGTTAGCTGATCCAATTTCGGTGGAATCTGCGGAAGGAGAACATGATGAAGTGGATGCTGGTGCTGCTGGATCAAGGAACAATGAAGTCGGTGCTGAACATGAAAATGACGAGATCAATGCTGATGAACGATCGGGTGCTTCTGGAACTAAACGACGAAGTGAGCGTTTGCGGAATCCACCAGCTAGGTTAAAGGATTACATCTGTGTTGCCTTCGCGTTGAACGCTGAGAGTTACGTCGGGGACTTAACTGACATCGACGATCTGAAATAGATGGACGATTGGCCTGATTGGAAACGGGCCATAGAGGAGGAGTTGAGTTCATTGGCTGAAAACAACACGTGGCAGCTAGTCGATATTCCTCAGGGTCGTCGACCCATCGATTGCAAGTGGGTTTTTCGATTGAAGCTGAATCCGGACGGTAGCATCCAGAAACGGAAGGCGAGACTAGTAACGAAGGGTTTCAGCCAGCGGTATGGCTTCGATTTTTCCGAAACTTACGTGCCAGTAGCTAAGATGTCAAGGCGGCATTCTTGAATTGTCAACTAACAGAAGACATCTATATGCGTCAGCCTAGAGGATTTGAGGAAGGGAACCAAGTTTGTAAGTTAAACAAATCCATCTATGGGCTGAAACAAGCGTCCAAGGCCTGGAATGACCGGTTCAATCAGTTCGCTGCGCAGATTGGTTTTTGGCGCTGTGAAGAAGATGCTTATTTGTACGTGCGAGATGGAGAGTTGGGTCCTGTGTACGTGTTGTTGTACGTTGACGACATACTGATTATTTCAAAGTCCCTTCGTGAAGTTGAGATCGTCAAACGGATGCTGAAGCAGGAGTTCAAAATGGTGGACCTAGGAGAAGCTGAAATGTTTCTTGGACTGAAAATAGATAAAAAACTGTCGGAAGGTGTGATGAAGCTGAGTCAACCTGGATACACGGAAGCGGTGCTCAAACGATTTGGCATGGGGGCTTGTAAGCCGGCGAGTACTCCAATAGAAGTAAACTTGCAGCTCAGGAAAGCAGAAGCAGAAGCGAAACTGGACAAACCGTACCGAGAATTAATCGGATGCTTGACTTACCTCGTAGTCACTTCTCGTCCGGACTTAAGTGCTGCTGTGTCTTACTTTAGTCAATTCCAATATAACCCAACCCAGGAGCACTGGGTTCACGCCAAACGAATTCTTCGCTACTTGCGTGGCACTACGGATCACGGTCTGATGTACAGAAGAAGTGAATCGACAGTTGGACAGCTTGAAGGGTTCGCCGATGCAAATTGGGCGACGGACGTAAACGATCGACACTCTGTTTCAGGTCAACTTTTCCAAGTTCACGGAGCCACAACGTCGTGGAGTACGAAGAAGCAGAGGACCGTTGCGCTTTCCTCAACGGAAGCCGAGTGTTCGGCTTTGGCGGATAGTGTCTGTGAAGCTCTCTGGTTTCGCAAGTTATTCAGCGAGCTTAGTATACTGGAACAGAAACCGGTGGATATATTCGAAGACAATCAGTCTACCATTGCGATCGCTGAATCTTATGCACCATCGAAAAGGCTCAAGCATACGGAGGTGAAGATACAGTTCATCAAGGAATGTGTCCAAAGTGGTAAGGTGGCGGTGAAGTACATCCCAACCGGGAATCAGACAGCAGATATGCTAACCAAGGGTCTTTCTCCGACGCTGTTCAACAAACATTGTTTGAAGTTAGGTTTGCAACAGTGATCAGCTTAAGGAGGGATGTCGAGAATAACCTAATCACAATTACCAATTGGGAAGTTCTTTACAGTAAAATAAGTACTTCTCTTTGAACGTGTACCTTATAACGATCATACCCTTAAAGTTAGTAGAATACTTTTGTCGTGTATTTTTTCAATTCATAATAAACGTTGCTCGAATCGGTCCCAAGTGTTTTGCTCTCTGCTGCCCATTTTTCTTTGTCAGAATAAATCAACATTGCAAAAACATAGCTAGTATGTGTTTATTTATTCCCTGAGAGTTTCAAAAATATCCGACTTAAAATGAGTTTGATCATTTTTGTCTGTTGCATTTTTTTCGAGTACAGTCTTTACTTCAAAGTAATGCAATTTAACTGTGGACACCCTTTTCACTAGCACAGCTGTAAACACTCCATAATGGAGTTTTTACACTTGTGCTGGTGTTCTGATGCTAGTGTACTAAAACTGTACTAAAATGTAATCATCATAATGTAAACTGGGCGTCAGTATGAGATTTCAGGAACAACTGAAATTCGTGCTAGTTGGCTGAGCTGGTTTAACTAGTCAACCAGCATGAATGTAAATGCCCCATAAACTGGACCAAACATTTACTATTTGTTTAAGAAACGTACGGATTTGGTTGACCTGCATGCGATCACATTAGAAAAAAATCACCATCTTAGCGCCCCTCTGTGGGACTTTGTATGGGAGCAACCTGTCACCTATATAGTGCAAAAATCAAAATTTAAATCATGTTTTAAAAATCGAGATGAATGTCTATGGGATCGACAAAAACTTTTTGGAAATTGAAGCTCTTTCAGATGATGTATAAGCACCGGTATGTTTTTCCAAATAAAGCCACCCAACTTTGGCTACTTTTTTCGTGGTTCTAGAAGAAAAAATCACGAAACATTGTTTTATTTCGAAGCTCGAGTGGTAGCAAACGTCATTTTAACTGGTCGAATAAAGTGGTTAACCGAGAAACAAGCACGGGAAGTGAGGAAGAGTGTAAAATGCAATGGATGGATCGATTCAAATGGCCCGCATATTTCCGTGAATTCAACTTCATTGAATTGGTAACATGCAAATTACCAGCATGCATGGTTTATTTCAAACTCATGTTATTAAATTGGTGTGGTTGGCGAATATAGGAGGCGCCCCGAATGCCATTTTCGGGACCACATTGCGTTTGTCATAGTTGACTAATGGTGTGTCACCATGGGTTGTCATTTGTCCTGTGGCTGCAATTGAAATATTGTATAATTGAGTTGCTAATGAAACTATAGAGATCGGGTGGTATATTTCAATTCTTCCGATAAGTATGAGTAGATACTAAAGCCCTCTACGAAAGGTATGGACTACTGTCAGCAAAAAACTGAAAAAAGCTATTCCAATCGAACAATGCAGCGCAAATGACAGTTCGATTGGAACAGCTTTTGGCGGACGTCCAAACTATTACTAGAGGGCTTAGCAATAGAGGACCGGCGGGGTGAAAACCGTGCATGAAGGGATGCCAGATTTGCTTTTTGCAGACATTTTGAAGACATTTCATGTTTTGAAGACACGTTGAAAGTGAAGAAGACTTCCGATAGATTTTTTTAATTTTCTAGCAGATGTGTTAAGATTTTTGTTAAAGAAATTAAGATTTTGACTTCATATTTTAAGCTCTTGTTGATTATGATGAATGTTGTTTATGAATAATATAATGAAAATCTTTTTTTACTTGATCGACCTGGCAATGCACAGGAATTAACTGAAATTTTCAATTTGCTGGAGATCTTTTGAATACTTCCAAATCAAGCTGCCATCTTGGGAGAATAACTGAGTGCCATCATTTGAATTTGTTGAAGGTTGGAGATCTTCAAAATAATACACAATCAACCTTAAGTGATGCATAAAATATCAGGAGGACTTTACTGGTACCTAGACTGGTACTGTACAATCAACTGTAGATATTTTCAGTACTTCCTGGTCAACCAGCCGACTAGATAGATTGTTTAAGAGACCTGATTTAAATTTTTGATCAGAGCAGTTCCACGCTAAATGACGAATAGGAAAAACTATACAAATTCGTTAGTTGAACCGAGGTGGTGACCCAACCAGCGAGTTTTAACTGTACTGCATTGCATCAGAAGCTTCTATCTACAGTGTTTCATTACGCGAATACTTGGCATTAGTGATAAAAGGCTGAGTACTGCGGACTCACGTAAGGTGCTTGTCACTTGGGATCCAGTGTGAACTGTCCAGCGGGAGCCAAACATTCAGAAGCAACAAATGCAGTTACTGTTCTTATCTAAAAGATAAAAACCAACAAGGCTCAGTGATGAAAGTATAAAACCAGCATAGTTTTTATGACTCCGCTGAGTTTTCAATTGCAGTAAAACATACTTTGGCGAAACATGTATCTAAACAAACTTTGATAGAGTCATGAGGGCTTGAGCACTCCTGGCTCAGAGCTTTTGGCGGGAATCAATTGTTAACAGTTTTAAACTTGAGAAAATTTTGAAGCAGTTTTCCATTGGTTTGCCAAATAAAACCGATCGGCTCCGCCTTACCCAGATAAAAGGCAAGCTGCTTTCGCTATAGGCGATTTAAGGCTCAAGCGCAATGACAGCGGAAGCGGAACGGCAGCGGCAGCCGAAAAGCCTGATCTGAGTAAGCCTACTTGTCGGATTGAAAACTAGTTAGAACCAAATCGACTTCGGTTAGGCATCTTGCTGTCATTTGTGACAATTGTCAAACTTTCCGTTCCGCCTACATTGCGTTTGGGCCTTTACTCATGTAACACTGACTTCTTCGGACAGCAGAAGACATCAAGGTCTTAGCATGATTGGTAAGGTAAGGTATCTCAAAGAAAAGAACACCCGAAAATTCTCTGGCTCACCCTTCCGCACAAAACCAAACTTTTCCCGATTCGGTTTGGAACACGTTTTATTAGAATTCTCACATCTCTGTGACCTGCGCTACATACTTCCAGTTCAAAACAATAATCTATCTTTCCACACTTTAAAGCATGCTTGGGGGCTTGCAGGTCTCCGTCCAGACCCACTCGCTCCAGTTGATGCAGGTCAGCGTGGCGGAGTCGAACATTCCCTCCGTCGGGCAGCGGCGGGCCGTGGCCGGGGTGTTGGCCGTTTCACAATCCCAGTACGCGGTGGGATCCCAGTTGTTACGCCAGAAGCGTTGCGTCATCTCCTCGGCATTGCATTGCGGCTGTCCGTTGGAATCGTCCCGGACGCAATTCTGCGCCAGGGCGATCGACAGCAGAGCGAGGAAAGCGAAGATGACTGCATGGATAGGACGGGTTTAGACTTAAGGTGTTCCCAGAATTGACGATCTACTTACATTTCATTTTGTTTCAGCGAAAATATGACCACTCTATTCGGTAAGACTATCTCTGTGAATGATACATTCCCTACCGCTGGAGGGGTAATTTATATCTAAGACCAGAACGTTATCAATTTCCGCACCGGTGTTGAAAGTCATGTTCTTTCCTTTGGCAGTTCAGTTACTCGTCGTTGACGACGTCACTCGTCGTCGGTTATCGGCAGGCGGTTTTCGAAATCGCATATTTTGCCGACACTGATAAGGGTTTGCAAATTTTTTGAAGGTAAAAGTCAGCGTTCCAAAATAGATCACAGAAGTGCAACCATGATGACGACTTGTCGCGGAGGCCTTTGGTTGTTTTTGAGGTTGTCAAAAATGCCAGATACAACTGCCCGATAGTGGCCTGTGCATAGGCGTCAAATAATGGGGGACATAGCCCCTTTTTGACCCCCTCCCAATAATTTTCAGAATGGGAAAAGTATCATTTTGTCCCCTCCTCTCTTTTATATTAATCGAAGAATTAATTGTATGATCATTAAATACATTATCCAGTCATAATAACTAAGTAATTTTCAGTTCAACAGTCAATTCAAATTCTTTTTGCATGCAACGATGCCTTGTTTTTTTTTTCATTGGACCACTTATTCATGTCATGTGCGTTCATTTATGCAAGCGAATGAATTTCAAGCGAGTCTACCACTAATAGTGTTTCGCTTCGGTCGTGGCTCGTGGCTATACAATCCATTACGTTGCTCTTGCTGATACAAACGAATGAAGTGGAAGCAACTAGGGGTATTCAACTCTACACACCTTAATCTGTGTCGAGTGATTGAGCTGTGCCACGCGCAGTGCCAAACGTGTCTATCAAGGTGTCAATCGAAGTGTGCCTATCAAGGTGTCAATATTCCATGAGTTTGACAACCCCGAAAGTTATGACTTTTGTAATTGTGTTTACATTCTCATTTTCTCTCATGGATCACGGCAAGCATTCAGGTTCCCTTCATTCTTATAAGAGCGTTAGTGGATCGGGAGGTGGAAGAGGAAGTAGAAGCCATCAAATCTGTACAGTGTTCAAGTAAATTCAACCCGTCCACCAGATTCCGGCTCAATGTCCCTTTGAACTGGTGATTTCCTCCAGATGTACAGAAACGAAGGCGATCGAATTTCCACCTGCTATCAGCCAAATTCTTCCCGAGTAAAGTAACCTAGAACGGGCAATCCTACTCTAGGAGCAGCATCCTCGAGTCAGTTTTTAATAAAGCCTCGCATCAAATTTTCAGTAATGAGCAAGACCTTACAGTTTACCGATCGGTAGGCCGCCTTTCGCTCTGATGTCCCTGGATACGAGCTAGTTCAACAAAAGGATGATGACAGAGATGCATCTGCAAAATTACCGTAACCTGATTACCGTGACGTGCTTGATTTCGGACGCGTGCAATAGAATGTAATTGCATTTCTAACTTCAATGATCCGTTCCTATAAATCCTATACTGTTGCGCTAAGGCAATGGTTCACCGACCCATGACGGATGGAATATGTGAGGTTAATACGTATTGACATCCCCCAGTAGAACTGGGACTTTTCCAAATTTATATACATCCCTTTTAAGTCCTATTGTAGACCATTTTTTTTATTATTTACACGCTATTTTGAGGCTGAAAATAACTGAGCTCAGCCAAAAAGGAAGTAACTCAAAAATGAGTAAACCTACATTTAATCAAATCTGGGTAAACGTGCCTGCGACGGAAACTGAGTAAAGTCGACTCAGATATTGACGTTTGATAACTGGGTAAACGTTACTCATTTTTATAAAAATTAAATTTTCATCAATGCTTACAATTATTTAAAGATGAATAAAGTTTATGATTGAAACAAATTAACATAATTTATGTATAAAATTCAGTACATCAGTTTAAAATTAAAATTGTGCGAATTAAATAGATAAAAGGTTCCCTGGAACCCTTGGAATTTCCCTGGAAATATCACCTATGTACAGAAGACAAATAGATCATCCTGAGAAACGACTATTAGAACAATTACTAGTAAGTAACTATCCTAAAGTTCAGTCAATGAGGGCGTCTATGCAGCAACCAAGGCAGAAACGTTGTCCAACAAGAAAATGCAATCGACCATCTTCAAGCAGGTTCAAAGTTCGTTGGGATGACTTGAAAAACGCTAAGTGAAAAGCTGCTTGAAAAGTTATGAATTTAATTTAAAGGGTATCAAAACTGATAATACTTTATGTATACTTACCAACTTCGCTAGCCACTAACTTGTGTTACACTTCGTAATTGTAATTGTTTTCAAGAACCTTTCGTGATGCACCATTTTGAATTTCTGGAAATTTTTATTTGGCCATTCACCAAGAATCTGGGTAGGTTCTACTCACCAAAACAAAACGTATCTACTCAGATTTTGACAACCTCATATTTGACACAAAAATGAGTTGGATCTACTCAGTCACTGGGTAGACTCAAAATAGCGTGTATTCTACATAACAGACTTGTAAATGCAGCTCAACTCTCGCAGAAGATCCTGCTCTGATCCTTCGTTGTGTGCTTCGAGATCGGATACCCATGACAGTACAAAATAATAAAACCTTCAGTGGGTGACCTTTGGTGAAAGCATGTGGTCTAGTATGTAGTTCATGACAGATAACAGACTTCTTCAAAATGGAGGGCATTTAGCCGGCATAATTTTAATGTGTATCCCAAAAAGGATACGTACTGCGTATAAGCCGAACGAGGGAATGTGATACACGACGAGAGCGAAAATAAACACGTGTGGTACATACGATTAACAAGTAGAGACTGAATTTATCTATCAAAATATACACGGTTAAGTTCAAGCACCAATTTAACTCTTGGGATTTACCCAGTGAATAGATTGCTCTTCACACCCCTCCTCAAACAAGTCACGCTTTGATTCCCATGAAGATTGGTAAACGGCACGGGGAAAGGCCCTTGGTGAGTATGTCGGCCGGTTGGTCGGCTGTCGGGATGTAGCACAAATTCACTTTACCTTCTTGGACGCACTCCTTGATGAAATGTAATTTAACTTCGGTATGCTTGAGCTTCTTGGACGAGCCATCTGACTCGGCAATGGCGATCATGGACTGATTGTCTTCAAAGATTTCCGCAGGCTGACGTTAACGAATTTCCAACTCTACGAACAGCTCACTTATCCACAAGACTTCGCAAATACAATCTGTCAATGCATAGCACTCGGCCTCGGTCGAGGAAAGTGCCACCGTCCGCTGCTTCCTGGTACTCCATGCTGTTGTAGCGCCGTAGATCTGGATCAGGTATCCGGAGACAGAATGTCGATCGTTGATGTCAGTGGCCCAATTTGCGTCAGCAAATCCCACTATTTGACGACAAGCTCGATTGCTTCTGGTGTACAGCAACCCGTATTCCGGCGTTCCTCTCAAATAGCGAAGCATTCTCTTTGCGTGATTCCAATGCTCTTCTCCGGGATTACACTGGAACTGGCTAAAGTACGACACGGCTGCACTCAGGTCTGGGTGGGAAGTAACCATCAAATATGTTAAACAACCGATCAGTTCCCGGTACGGTTTGCACAGATCTTGCTTGGTATCTGCTTTCTTCAACTGCAAACCCTGTTCCATCGACGTTGACGACGGCTTACACTCCTCCATGCCAAAGCGTCTCAGCACAGCATCCACGTACTTCGGCTGACTCAGCTTCATTACACCTTTTTCTCGATCTCTTTCAATCCGAAGACCCAGGAACATCTGAGCTTCACCGAGATCCTGCATCTTGAATTCCATTCTCAGCATCCGTTTCACCGTCTTCACTTCGTCTAAATTGTTCGCGATGATCAGAACATCGTCCACGTAGAGCAGCAGGTACACTGGACCGGATTTGCCTACTCGAACGTACAGACAGCTATCTTCCTCGCATCGACGGAAACCACACCGTGAAATGAACTCATTAAAGCGGTCGTTCCACGCATTGGACGCCTGTTTCAATCCGTAAATGGATTTGTTGAGTTTGCATACCTTATCCCCCTCCTCAAATCCCTTTGGTTGACGCATATAGATGTCCTCCGTCAGGATTCCGTTGAGGAAGGCGGACGTCACGTCCATTTGATGGACAACAAGATCGAACTGGTTGGCAAGGGCAAGCATCGATCGAACGGTGGACATCTTAACAACAGGTGCATAAGTTTCCGAAAAATCGAACCCGAAACGCTGTGTGAAGCCTTTAGCGACTAAATGCGCTTTTCGCTTCAGAACGGACCCATCTGGGCCAAACTTGAGTCGCAAAACCCACTTGCAGTCAACTGCCCTGCGCCCGGCCGGTAAGTCCACCAGGTGCCAAGTGTTGTTTTCGGCCAGTGAATTCAGCTCCTCATCTATGACAAGCTTCCACTCCGGCCAATCTTCCAGTTTCTGCAGCTCTTCGATGGTATCCGGAATATTTTCGACGTAGCTTTCAGCGTTAAGCGCATAGGCGATGCACAAGTAATCTTTCAGCTTCGCAGGAGGCTTCCGAAGTCGCTCACTGCGACGCAGACCTGCCTCTGAATAACCGTTCCCCTCCTCAGCTGCACCACGATCCTCTTCAAACGACCTATCCTCCGCTTCATCATCAGATTCTTCTTAACCTCCAGGACAGCTCTCCTCTTGTTGGGATTCTTCACGATCAGCAACGCTTCTCGACGAAGAAGGTCCAGCCAACTGACCGTGATTCTCACTCCGAACGGGAGCTTCCGGAACCTCGGAACCACAATCGATGATGCGCTGTTTAAGCGCTAACTCCTCCACCACGACATCACGAGCGATAAAAATCCGCTTGCCGTCCCACAGACGGTACCCTCCGTCGCCGTATCCAACGAAATAACTGACCTTGCTGCGAGATTCTAGCTTGCCTCGCTTCTCCTTCGGGATGAGACAGTATACCTTGCTTCCAAAAATCCGCATCCACGATACGTCCGACTTATGCCCGTACCAAAGCTCGTACGGCGTGTTATTCGTTGTCAGCGCAGCCGTGGGACTCCGATTGGCTAGATAGACGGCTGCCAATACCGCCTCGTTCCACATATTCCGGTCCAGTCCGGAATCCGCTATCATTAC